CATATGACCCCTTTAATCATAATTAATAATCGCAATTACAATTTCAAAGGAATAATTGACAATTATGATTTTTGTCATAATCGTGCAGCCCTAGAACTTGAAATGGAAATTGTGTAAGAAGCCTGTGACTTCTGGACGTCGTTTAACACCAGCCAAAGATTAGATCTTGCTGTTTTTTGTTTTTTTTTTGCTATGCATTCATGAACGCTCTGTTATGTAACTGTGGTGCAAACATTTGATTCTTGTGTGTGTGTGTGTGTGTGTGTGTGTGTGTGTGTTTTCTGCAGATCCCCATCGCCTGCAGCGGCATCAGAGCCATGGGTTACCTGATGAGACACCAGCTCCGCACAGGAGGACCGGAGAGCATCTCGCCCCGCATCATCACACAGTTCCTCAAGGTGAGACTGACTCCAGCATACACTGAGATAAACCGCCTTCCATACAGTAGTGTACAGATTACTGTATAATGCATACTTGATATGTTTGGTAACACTTTACAATAAGTTAGTTTGCATTAACTAACAATGAGCAATACATTTGTTACAGTATTTAATAATCTTTGTTAGCATTAGTTAATAAAAATACAGCTGGTTATTGTTAGTAATGTTAACTAGGGTCCAATAAGTAATAGTAAATGTTAAAATTAACATAAATGCTTTAGAAGTATTTCTCATTGTTCGTTAAATAGTTTATCACAATATTGTTTCTGGTTCATTAGAGCACTTTGCATTATGGGATACAATTTGTCATGTAGTGTAGGGCTGGATAATATGGACAAGAATATTTTGTTGTTTCATATCATTCAAAATTGATATCAAAATATTCATTTAATACCATTAATAGGGAAGGAGATGCATTTGACGTATTTCTTAGACCTCAACAATGAACACAAACAACTAGTATGTGTAAACTAAAACTATGGACGTGTGAAATTAATTGTAATTTTATCCTAATTCTTTTAATGCACATTTATAATTAAAAAGGTATAAGGTGAATTCATACAGCTTTAACAATTTAATCAATGTTTTAAAATAGGGATGCACCGAAATGAAAATTCTTGGCTGAAGCCGAAACCGAACAAAATTAAACACTGGGCCGAACACCGAACATGTTTTTTTAGTTTTTTTTTCTCCATGTATTTTCCCAATTTTTTTTTCACCATTGCATAAATTAAAAAGCCAAAATTTGCTTTTTACTGTTTTGTCTTGCTTTTCAAAGAAAAAAAAATCAATTACAAAACAACATTTTAAAAATATTTAACACTGAACATTTTTAACATTCTAACAGACACTATACCAACAAAGCACAAATTAACTTAAAATTAATAAGTTAGTAAAATAATTTTTGGCCATCAAGACCCCCTTCTTGAATCAGGCATGTTTTTTTTTTGTTTTTTTTACTGTACAATTAAAAGCAGCCTTGCTGAGAAGAGACTTCTTTTAAAACATTAGAAAATATTACAGTATAAAATATCATAATTTGAACACTGTGTGTGAATGTTATAATAAATGTATTACAACAGAGCTGTTGTAATCATTATTATCATTATTATTGTCTTTTTATTTTATTTTACAGAACAACAGTAAAATTACAATACTAACATGTATGAATGTTGATAGAGTTCTTGCTTTTTCTCAACTTTTATTTTGGCGGAAACACGCAGGAAGACCTCAATGCTTATTTTTGTTGACAA